AAGAAAGAAAGAAAGAAAGAAAGAAAGAAAGAAAGAAAGAAAGAAAGAAAGAAAGAAAGAAAGAAAGAAAGAAGAAAAGAAAATCAGTACCAAAGTCCATTATTTCATTGGGGACTGTCAAATGGTGATATTTTATTTTTAATTCTATCATGCCCTTTACATTCATTAGCTGAAAATCTTGTATGCCAACTCTTTGGTTTTCTCTGAATATAGTTCAAACAACATAGGTAAGGTATATGCTTCTTTCTCTTTATTATCAGCATTCAGAATATTGAAGTAATGTCTTAGTAAGCTCCAAAATGAATAATAAACCACTAAGATTTTCCTACCTTTGTGAATACATGAATTTTAACATGTTAGGTGCTTCACATGTGCTAGTGTTGTCTATACTGACCTTCTTCTTGGTGCTCAAGTTTTTCAATCTGTGGCCTGTGGGAGTGCCACAGACCCACGTACTTTCCACATATCCTGAGGAGGTTTTCGCAGCTTCTTCACCTTCTAGAACTACTTTGTATTCCAGGCTCATCTTGTACATTTCTTGCCCCAGACCTAGAAACAAACAATTCCTGAAGGAACCCAGGTCCCTTAGCAGGCCATGGTGCGTGGACAACCTGCCTGGGTGTGAAGGGCACTCTCTCCTCCTGGACAGATCACTGGTGTGAGCCCTTTCTATACTGACTGTCTCTGTCTCTACCTATTCTCGTAATTAGTGATTTGAGGTTTTTTGTCTTCAAATGGCTATGCTTTCCACTTCTGAAAGTTTTGTTTTGTTCTAAATCCGTGCACATTTTAAGTAAGATTCTGAATTGTATTATGATTTATATTCCTGTTTTACTAATTTTCAGATGGCCTGATTTTATAGTACTTTTCAAAGGCTATGTTAGTTTGCTAGGGCTGCTATAACAAAGTAGTAAAGACTCATAGCTTGAAGTTTGTCTGTTTTCTTATAGTTCTAGTGGGAAGAAGTCTGAGAAAATGTGTTAGTGCGGTTGGATTTTCTTTTTTTTTTAAATTTAATTTAATGTAATTTTATTTTATTTTGTATTTTAGGGAAGGGTCTACATGGTATTCAGGGTCTCACTACTAGATCGGATTTGTAATGATCCACCTGTTTACAGCCTCCCAAGAGCTGAGGTTACAGGCACACGCCACCCGCCCAGTCTTAGGGTTGGCTTTTCTTCTGAGGCTTCTCCCTTTGGCCGTATCTTCATATCGTCTTTCCTCTGTGTGTCTGTGTTCTAATCTCTTTTCCTTCATGTTCTTTTGTTTTCTCCTCTTTCTTCTCCTCAGACACCAGACATAGTGGATTAACCCCAAGTCCTCATTTTAGCTTAACTGCCTCTGGAAAGACCGATCTCTAATTGCAGTCACATTCTGATAAATGGAGATTAGGTGGTCAGTGCATGAATTAGGGGGGAGTGGAGCGCGTTCAGGCCATATGTAATCCTTGGGGTATTCACTCTGATTGTTCTGTATGTTGTTTATTTCTTATAGTGATGCACTTTCTTTTGTAGTTTGTATTTTTATAGTGAGCTCACAATAACAAAGGTGTATTATTTTGGAAAGTCTTATGTACGCTGGGTTTGGGAAGTGATGCAACAACTTTGCCTACGCAAACACTGGTGCCCCAGGGACCATGACATTTTAGATCAGTGATGGCAAACCTTTGAAAACTCTCAATGACAATCAACAGCTTGCTTTCACACACATGCCATAGGTTTGCCACTATTGTTATAGATTAATTTTATGGGAAATTTCTCATCTAGGGAATCCCCTCCCACAGGCTATGATAGATTCATATCCCTCATCTGCGTGTAGCATGAACTTAGTGTTTTGATTTCAGAGTTATTGTTTATTTTTTCCACCCAGGCTCCAGGTTAGTGGAAAGCTTCCACATTGCTTCTGCAAATTAGTAATTTTTGTCCTTTTTACCACGAAGCACAGCCCTTTGTGGTCCCTAACTTTACACATGAGTCTCAGTTCCAGGAATGCAAAGCTAGGTTTCCCATGGACATGAAGACTGCACCTTCTAGACTAGTTAAATAAAGTGTGGTATTTTCCAGTGGTGAAATATTATCTTAACCATGAAAGAAAGGGTGTTTATATAGCATGTACTGATATAAGAAAGAGCTATAAGGTACATGGCCAAGAAAAACAAGCAAAATACAGTATTTTACAATTCATTAAGTTTAATAGTATACATGCATATATTTAAATACATAAAATTTCTCTGAAGAGATTAAAAACCTAATAGCATTAGCTATCCCTGAGAAAGAGAGATGTGAAAGGTACTGACTTCACTGTAAAAATGCTATTTTCCCACTCCAAAATAAGCTTGTTAGGTTGTATATTCAACTTCAGTTTTGAGTTTCCTCTTCATTTTTGGCACCAAAATATTTTCCTTTCTGTTAAACTCTAATGTTTTTATTTTCAGTTTGCACAGCGTTTCATATCAAGAACATCTGTGTTTAAAGCAAAGGGAGGGGTTCATGGTAGCTTCTTCTGCCACCCTGTCACATGTCTAAGGCTTTCTCAGAGAGACGTTTATTTTGCAATTAACAGAAGCCAGAATTTTTTTCTGAAACTAAAATTTTAATATACCTCCCCCTTTGTGTTGTGACTGCTAACCCCACTCTTGCTGAGCTCACCTCTCTCAAAGGCTCTTTTCTTCCTGGTCTTAGGCCTGCTGAAGTTTGCAGATGACTTTGGTATGGGAGGTGCCAAGACGCAGACCATTTCTCTTGGCCAAGGCCAAGGCCCTATAGCTGCCAAAATGATCAACACTGCCATCAAAGATGGGACCTGGGTGGTATTGCAGAACTGCCATTTGGCTACAAGCTGGATGCCTACGCTAGAGAAAATCTGTGAGGAGGTCATTGTTCCTGAGAGCACCAACATGAGATTCAGGTGAGAAGCTGTCCCACTGTTGCCTGTCTCTGGGCCCCACCTGACAGATATGCTGGGAGCTGGGAATGCAAAGATGACAAGGCACAGTGCTGCATGAAGAAGCCCTTGGTCTAGTGGAAGACAGTTAATGGATGAATAATGTTGATATTGTGTAATTCCTGAGGAGCCATGCAGCACAGGAAGGGGGCAGAAAGTGATAAAAGGTCTGGAGGCCTGGGGCTGTGAAAGATGAATAGGAGTTTGCCAGGAAGGACATTCCATTCAGAAGGGTAGCATTTGTACAAGAAAATGATATATTAAGGAATACTAAAAAGTTACCTTGCAGTTCTGGGGTATATGCTCTAAGAGGCGGTCAGGGAAAATAATAGCAGCCATGTCTAGCAAGGCAGATCAAATGTCAGCAAGACTAATTTGTAAAAATTATTTGTCAAAAAAATTATCCCTGGCAGCCTAGGCACAAGTTGTCATTCTTCTAGCCCATATTTTTGGGCTCTGTGGAATTGGAAACCGTTGTTTTCTATGAAAGTTAAAGCCCAGCAAAGCTGAACCTTAGTTTTTGCATTCACAAAACAAAGAGAACTGGATAGAATTTAAAGCCCCTTTCAGAACTCAAGTGTTCAGGCATTCTCGTATTCTAGGCTATGGAATAAAATTGGTCAGTGGGCCAATCCAGCCTGCTATCTATTTTTGATATGCTTACAGTATTTTTTTAGACAGAATCTTTCTATGCAGTTCAGGCTAGTCTTAAACTTACCACCACATAATTCAGGCTGGCCTCAGTCTCACAGTAACCCTCTTGCCTCAGCTTCCCAAGTTTTGGGATCACAGGCATGTGCTGCTACATCCAGCTTTTAACTTTAAATATTAAAGAGTAATATTTTATGGCAAATGAACATTATGTAAAATTCAAATTTCAGTGTCTATAAATAAATTTTTATTGAAAACACCCTTCTTCATATATTGCATGAACCTGCTTTCATGTTACAAATAGTTGAGAAAGATACTATATGAGCTCACAAAGTCTAAAATAGTCATGATTCTGTCTTTTGTGAAAGAAGTTTGGTGACTCTTGCTTTATGCAAGAAAGCTTGCTGATTATCTTCATTTTGTTCATGATTTCTTGAAAACAAGAAAATATTTGGTGCTTATGCAGAAACTCATTGATTTGTATTTGTGGAAGACTTCCAAAGGAAAGAGTCCATTAGTTCCTAGGATGTTGTTTGGTTTGGAATGCTGACTGGATTCACTGACTACTGCCTCCACTGCCATGGACAGGACACTACATGAAGAAAAAGCTATTCTTGCTAACATTCAACATGGTCCTAACATAAAAGTCATGAGCTCAGGTGCCAACAAGCTCCAGGCATATAAAATAAGTGACTACACTTAGGCAGGTGCAGAGTCTAGGGCTTGATCGCCAGACTGCTGGTCCAGCCCCACCCCCAGGGCATGCCGAGAGGGCGATGGGAGACTGGGCTTGGTGGCACGTGCCTGAAATCCCAGTGCTTGGGAGACTGAAAATAGGTGGGTTAGTACAAGTCTGACCTGTGTGGGGAGGCCCTGTAGACCCTGCACTAAACACATTTTACAGAGTGACTGAAGAAGGAAGAACATGAGAAAGAGCCCATCTTCAGCACAAGAGCAGTCCGCATGGGTAGCTGGTCTCGGCGTCGGGCAGTGGGGAATGGCGCCTGCCCTGTACAGATGGGCACTTGCTACTTACTGCGACGTAACTGTTGCCATGCAGGAAGGCAGGCCTCTTGTGATCAGATTTTCTGATGACTCTAAAGAGGAAGTGGGAAGCCTGAATTGTTAAAAAAAAAAAAAAAAGCCCTTGATTTTGAAAAGTTGGCGAGTACTTCAAAAATACAGTGCAGTATTGTGTGCGCATGTGTGTGTGCGCCTGTGTGTGTGCACATGTGAGTAAACGGTGTGAGCCAAGCATCGTCCATCTCCAGCTGAAGTCAGGCCTTAGGCCATCAGTCTGTGAACTCTTATTTCTTTTCCCAGCCTTGGGCCTGGGCCACAGCCACCTGTCCACCACATCTGACTGGGTCCTGTATCGTTAAAGACCTCTCGCATGGGCTGGTGAGATGGCTCAGTGGTCTAAAGCACCTACTTGGAACAAGCTTAGCAGAGCACAGGGACCACGGTTCAATCCCCCAGCACCACATGCCAGCCAGCCCCGCCCCCTGGTGGGCTGAGCTGGCCACACACACACACATAAATAAATTAAAAAAAAAAAAAAAAAAAAAAAAAAAGACCTCTCGCATGCCCAGATCCACCTGCTGGAAGTCTCTCCGATGTCTAGCAAACAACTGTGGCATACATGTAGTTTGAGTTTGGTAGGAAAAACAAGTTGATGGAAGTTTGGAGTGTGATATGCTGAAACGTTAGCCTTATGGGGAAAGTTTTACATTGTATCTCCTTCTAGTACTTTCATGACATGTACCAACTCCCCATGATGAATGTAACCGTTATGTCCTGCAAACATGTAGTGTGAATACAAATTTTAAAACCAAAGCCTTAAAAGAGAAAAGAAACTCTTTTACATATATTCCCATTACTGTGGGCATACTTTTAATTTTAAATAAGTTCTCTATATTTTCAAGAACGATTTTCAATACCATTTCCTATTTGATAAAAATTAACACCCTTTTTCTCTAAAGGCCCGAATGGTAACCAGCTTAGTCTTTGCAGGCCATATTATCTGTGTTGCAGTGCCTCAGCTCTGAAGTTGTAGGATGAAAGCAGCCATAGATGAAATGTAAATGAAAGGAGACACACATGTTCCAATAAAACTTTATTTATAAGGGCTAGCGAAATAGCTCGGCAGACAGGCACCTGCTTAGGCAAGTGCAGGTACTAGGGTTCGATCCCCCGCACCATATGCTGCACTGGCCCTGCCCCAGGCATGCTAAGCCAGCCACCAAGTCCGGGCCTGGCAGTGTACGCTTGTAAGCCCAGAGCTGGTGAGGCTGAAAACAGGAGGATTGCTAAAGTCTCAGCTGCGTAGTGAGACCCTGTACCAAATACATAAATTAAAAACAAAACAAAACAAAAATTTTATTTAAAAAAACAGGTGACAGGTTGGATTTAGTTCTCTGGTCATTGTCTGCCATCTTTTCTCTCTGCCATTTGTCTGGCTCCCTTTAACCTACCGAAATCTCTTCTTTCCATGGGCCCCACAGCTCATTATTTCTTCCGTTTATGATTTTGATTTTATAATGCTTAGTATGCTAGTACCCATCTTTATCCCTTGCCTGGCTCCCAATTCCTCCTCTAGCAAGAGCTGTGAGCATCTGCAGCAAGTGTTCCCCGATCCATCCATTCTCTACGAGTCTCTCAATCCAGTGGACAATCAAAATTAACTGGGAGATGTATTTCCTCCCTGGTAAAGGGGTGGCAAATCTTTCCTTAAAGGTGGCTATGAGAATTGACAGAAATGAAGGACAGAGTAAATCCTAAGCCTGAGTTTTACATCCAGCAGTACTTAATAAATGGTAGTAGTCAGGCGTGGTGGCACATGCCTGTAATCACATTACTGGGGAGACAAAGGCAGGAAGATTCCTGTGAGTTTGAGACCAGTCTGGGCTACATAATGAGTTCAAGGCCATCCTGGACAAAGAAAGACCCTGTCTCAAAAATAAATAAACAAAATAAATGGTAGCTATTATTTTTGTTATTTTTTTTCAGTGTAACTTATTGCATTGTTCTGAACTCTTGGGCCCACTGTTCTTCCAGACTCTGGTTAACCAGCTATCCATCAGAGAAGTTTCCAGTCAGCATTCTCCAGAATGGGATCAAAATGACCAACGAGCCCCCAAAAGGGCTCCGGGCCAACCTATTGCGCTCCTACCTCAATGACCCCATCTCAGACCCCACGTTCTTCCAAAGTTGTACAAAGCCAGTGATATGGCAGAAGCTATTGTTTGGCCTTTGCTTCTTTCATGCCATCGTTCAAGAGAGGAGGAACTTTGGACCCCTAGGTGAGCTGCGACAGCGTACCCGGGTGGCCTACGGAATGAATGATCACAGACAGGTGCAGGTCTGATCAGAGGAGTATGTTCAGGCTTGCACTTAAATGGGATGGCCAGTAAAATATAGTACAAATATGTCTTATTTGCAAATATGTCCCTGCTACTACCAGAGTTAAGCTAAATGTGATTTGTGATTTATCTACAATTAAATTTTCAATGGTTGGTTTGTATTTTTATTTGCTAAATCTGGCAACCCTATAACTAGGTCAGTGTGAGTGTCAGGGAAAAGGTGACACTCCCAAATCAGAGGTCCCCTCAAGCAATAGGATAATGTGAGGACTGCAGTCTCTTGCTTTTCGTAGGTCTTTGTTTCTTAGTCACAACGACTATCCTCCTGGGACCTGTTACCAGGTAACTTATAATGTTTTCCGCAGCTCTCTCTACATGTACATAACAATGAAAGCCAGAAATATACCTGAGACATTGTACCTCTCCTAAAAAATAAGTGATTTATATATTTACTAATGTAAGTTATTCATGGCCTAATTAATGAGCAACTAAATAATCTTTTTAGAATAAATACAAATTCCATATCATCATGATGTTCAATTTGGATTCCTTTCTCTTATCTGTGGGTTGCCTTCAATTCTAATGACTTGGAAATGACCAACTTCAGAGGGTTCCTAGCAGTCCTCCTGGCGGGGATGAGAGGACAGTTATCCTCATGGTGATTTTTGCTGAGCACCCGCTCCCTTTCCTTCTACCTCTGCACACGAGCCAGCCCCAGTGAGCTCCCCAGGCCTTGTCACTCTCACACAGAGGACAGAGGAGTCTGGCAGCCCTGTGCATCTGGATTCCATGCATTACCTTCTACCGCCAGTCTCCCATCCATGCCAGAACTCTAGAAACCTATGCAGCAGTTAGGCTCTCAATAACTATGCTGTTGTGTTTTGTTTTACCAATGTATGAATTTATCATTTTGTTATATTTTAAATTTTCATATGGATTTTTAAGAGAAAATTAAACTATTCTGTTAAGCATTAACATCCCCTGTTAGGCCTAGGGCACACAATTTTTATGTCACTCTCCAGCCCCTGTGGACATTTATCATTAACTTGAAAGTGTAAGTGACTATCCAATTCTCCCATAAGTTCAAGGAAGGGAATTCTCAAACATAGCTTCACCCTGTTGCCCAATCTCAGCTACTGCTCTCAGCTATGCTTTAGGGTTATGTCTGGACCTCTGTGCAGACAGTATTCCAGCCAGGCTGAATAGTTTTTCATTCCATAAATCCCAAGATGTTAACGTCCTCCTTAACAAATAGGAAGACCCATCAGAAAATTGATTTTAGAATGTTTTCTTGGGCAGAATGGCTCCCACACTAGCAGTAAATGTCAAGGTTAATAGTTGGCCTGGTGCTCAATATTTACAGGCTGAAGGAGGCTGCTGATCCATAATGATGCTTAACCCTACCAGCTCATTCTCTGAGTGGAAATTAAGAGCTCTCAGCACTGAGGCCTCTAATTCTTCTCTGTCTCTTGCAGGTTGGAATATTCCTTATGAATTCAATGAGTCTGACCTAAGGATTAGCATGCGGCAGATCCAAATGTTTCTCAATGACTACAGGGAGGTGCCATTTGAAGCTCTGACCTACCTGACAGGTACTGATGGGAGAAGCCCTGCTGCAGTCAACCTCCACCCTCCTGCTCTTTTGTTCCTGCCTCTATTCACTTAATCCTTCCTTTCTCCCTTCCTTCCTCCCTACCTCCCCTCTCCTTTCCTTTCTCCTTCCTTCCTTCATTGAACTTATACTAATATTGGTCATCATACTGGACATAGGAAAAAACAAAAACGTTGAAAATTTAGGTATATTATCTACAGCCAACTGGCTCCCAGTCTATAATGTAGAAAAATATAAATTTTTTAAACAATTCATTAGCAACTTTTTACTAATCACTCACTATATTCTAGTAAGTAATATGGGAGAATTAAGATGTATAACACTCGGTTCCTGTCCTCAAGGAGTACATAGTACAATCCAACTCAGGATGGAAATAGGTGTAAGGTGTGTACTAAATGAATGAGATATCATGGCCAGAAGTCAACTGCAGCTCAGTAGAAGGCCTTTGAGATCATACAAAAATTCCCTCCTCAGTTCCTTAAAGAATTTGCCTGGACCCTTTTCCCCAAGCAGTGACACGTGCTCTACGCACACGAGGAGCTTAGCAATCTTCTGAGCTCCACCAGGGAGACTGAGGCGTTGGAGTAATGGTTCTGAGCCATGTGCTAGGCATACCTGGCAATGTGCAGAGCTACTTAGAAGTGAACAGGAGAACACTACAGCCTCTGATGGCAGAGGCCAGGGGCGCTGCTAACCTTCCATAGTGCGGAAGGCAGCCCCACACAGCACAAAACTATCCAGCCCCAACCACCAGTGGTACCGAGAAACCTGAATGACAGTGATGACATCCAGCTGTACATGGCTACACCAAGTGTACCTCAGTCCAGTTAGACCCAAACCCCAAGTGCCACACAGCACAAGTTCAGGGGATCTTCACTTGGGAAAGGGACTGCTTCTGTGAAGGAGGCCACTTCCCTCTCATTCTCTGCCATGCACCAGGCTCCTCTCCAGACCACAGAATGGGTGCAGGATTGGAATGTGGTCTTCAGCAAAGACTGCCTGCAGGCCATAGGGCAAGCTGTCCTGCCTGTGCCACCCAGCTTGAGGACAGTCCTTTTCCAATTGTGCCCACCAAAATAGACTGAGGTGACAGTCTCCAAATCTCAGGAGTAAAAGACATTAAAGTCCATTTCTGTCCCAATCACCATGTCTAGCATATCAACAGGGGTCTCTGCTTATTATAATTATCGGGTATGCATTCAGTAAAGGCTCTACCAACCTTTATTGCCACCATCTCAACAGATAGTTATGTGGTCACTGAAGAGCTCACACCAGGATTTAAATATGCAAGAACTCATCACTTGGCCTCACATCCTCTAAGGGACCTAGAGGAGAGTAACCTTCCTATAGGCCTGGAAGGAAGGAAAACTCAGATCCAGGTGATATTTAGAATACTCCTGAGGAGTATGAAGACTAACTGAGGAGGCAGACTGCATGTACAGAGAGGCTGTCAGGTTGGATGATCAAAGTCATTCATTCCTAATCTGGTACCCTGCCCTGCAGCAGGGACAACAGAGATCATTAGGAGTCTAAGGCATATCTTGGCTCCTTTGGGAGTTTGTGCTCTTGATAAAAAGCAAACCTGAATGTAGCTATAAAGAAAGGACTGTCTTTTTAGACATGAAACCCAGAGCTGAAAGGGGCCCTCTCAGGGAAGACTCACTGATGAGGCAGTGGCAGTGGCTTTGTGTCATGACTCTGGGTGCCCCTGTGCACACCACACTGACTTCAGGGGCAAAGCCACTCTTTAATATTGTACTTTGGGTGCTGTCATAAACCTCCTTACCACTGAAACAAGCAGTAATGTTCAAAATGAAGTTTGCTAATGGCCTGGAGTGTCTACAGATAGAGCTGCAGAAATACAGGTAAGTTGGCCTGAGGTCAGGCGGCTTCTGTAGGACTCACATTACTCCTTACGCACTTCCTCTGTTCCCTTAACTAGACCTCCTGGATTCCTCAGCAAGATATGGAGACACCACTAGGTCAGAACTGAGAGAAACAGAGGCCTCAGTGTGATTCTTACTTCTTTGTCCTGTCTATAACCTCCCTTTGTCTGAAATGGTTAAAGTTGAGAGTATGCTTACCATTGTACACACACACACACACACACACACACACACACCCCATTAAAGATCACCTAGTGTGTTGACCCCAACTACTAAGTATCAGGTGACAGCCACATATTTCAGTATTATGGAATCTAGACCAGTTAGAAAATGCATCCCTTGGTGGTGGTACATCGAATTTGGTGTCTCCTCCAAAGAATTACTTAATTCTTTATGTAGAAATATGAGTGTAGACATCCGGATCTCAGAGAATGATGTTAATGATCAGGTGTGGCATGGGAATGGAGGACATGATATCTTAAAACTACGTATAGGAAAATCTCATCTTTCTAAAATAAATGTATTTGTCATAGCTATAGTCAAATGGATGGTTTTATAGGCTAACTGTGCTAAGCGCTCTACATGTGTTATGTTGGTAAGTCTTGACCACAGCACTGTAAGTTGGGCACTGCAACTGTCTCTACTTTCTGATCAATGAGGAAATGCTACTCAGTGGCAGAGCTTAAGCTAGAAGTCGGGATTGTGCTATTCCCAAATCCTTGCCCTAAACACAGCTTCATAATGCCTTTCACAGATATGTCTGCACACACACTGAAGCAAAATGTCTGGAAACTGCCTGAGTAACAGCAGTCATCTTTCATGGAATTCTTACTGATTGTATTCTTTTCTCTTTTCTAATTTTGAATATGGAAAACATGTATTCATCCCTAACAACCATAATATCAAAAGACCACCTCATTTCAAGCTGAACATGGCATCAGTAACCCTGTGTCCTTGGACCACCTCATTCCGGAGGGCTCCTTGGCTGGAAGAATCCCATTTCAACCTAATAGCCAAGTTCACAGTGACCTTTCCTTCTCACCTTCTTGTCCTGTTGGTTCTCCAGGAGAATGTAACTATGGAGGCAGAGTGACTGATGACAAAGACCGGCGTCTTCTCCTGTCTCTTTTGTCCACATTCTACTGCAAGCAAATCGAGCAGGATCGTTACTATCTTGCTCCTGGAGAGACTTACTATATCCCACCCTATGGTTCCTACCAGGTAATGCATGAAGGCCTCAGAAGCCTTCATACAGATAGGGTGCAGGGTGGCCAAAAGAGCCCAGAGGTGGCCATAGGCTTCCTTACTTGGGTCTTCAGGCTGTTTCCGAAGGCCGTCAAGGGATATTTTCCTGTATAATGAATGCTAGGTTTTTACTCAACAAAGTGTTTTAAGACATAAGGCTCATCTGGGTTGCTGGGGAAGGAGAAGGGAAGATGACAAAGATGAAACTGTGGTAGTGAACCGGCTAACAATTGCTTATATTACCTATTATATGCCAAAGTCTTATTCCTTTATGACCTCACTTGTCTTCCCATTTACAGATAAGGAGGCTGGGCTTTCAGATGACTAGCTCCAGATTCCACTGCTGGCTAGTGACAGAGCTGGGATCCAGCCCAGTTCCATGTAACTCCAAAGCCAAGACAACTAGGGGAACAAAGAGAGTTGTGGGAGGGGGGCATCTCTATTACTTTCATATTCTTTAGAAAACTCTGTAGGGAGTGCTTGGGGTATGTTCACACAGACTGGAGTGGGCAGTACAACCAATGCAGTGTGATTCCTGTTCAAGCTGGACCCAGCCAAACCCTAAAGCATCTGTTTGACCGCAGGGGTCCTCCATTTACACCAACTGAAGGTTTTCTTTCCAGTCCTATATCGACTATCTCAGGAACCTTCCCATCACAGCCCACCCAGAAGTCTTTGGCCTCCATGAGAATGCTGACATCACCAAGGACAACCAGGAAACCAACCAGCTCTTCCAGGGGGTGCTGCTGACCCTCCCTCAACAATCTGGAGGGTGTGGCAAATCGCCTCAGGTAAGCAGACTCAGAGGAGGAAACAGCATTCACTTTCCCAGGCACTTCCCCATCTAGTGGGCATACAATTGTGTGTGATGACAAAAAAAAAGCTGAAAAAAAGCTGGAGATTCAAAATGGCAACTATTCCTGTGCAACTTTCATGATGTTTTGTATCTCCACATATTACCTATACTCATATATTTAACTATTTTGCTTAAAAACATTTTTTAAGTTGTACATCAGAATTATAAATAGAAACTCAATAAAGTCATGATAGGTACAGAAGGAAGGAAGCAAAAATGGCCAGAAGAAAGAGAGACAGGGAGGGAGGAAGGGAAAGTTAAACATTAAGTTCTTCCCTGATGGCCTTGCTAGGCAAAGCCCGAAAATCAGTAAGAGTTAAAGTTTAAATTAGTACTAATCTAAAATATATATATATATATATATATATATAAATTAGTACTAATCTGAGATGCTCTATCGGAGAGGAATGAAAAAAGAAAGGTGATCAAAATTTGAAAATAATAGTTTTTTCATCATGAATTCAACATTATTTATGTTGTGTCCAGAAACACCTAAAAAAATCCCTCTGGGTTCTCTAGCAGTCCCTGTGTATGCTTTGTGAAGACCCGACTGGTCTTCCTGCTCATATGTAATTACAGACTATACACCCTGGGAAAGGAAGTAATTGGCTCCAAGTCCTTCGTATCAGAGGCAGAGCCCGACCCAACACCACATCTTGTCTGTTTCTGCCACTCTTTTTCCTCCTACCTGTTCCTTTCCTCTCTCCACCTGCTAAGTTGCCTCAGGTTCTGCCCTTCTCCAGTGCAAGTCTTGCTTATTGAATTTCTTGATTGGGCTTATAGTGCCCTAAGTGTTACTTGGTATGAGGATAAATCAGCCTGGCTGGTATACCAAATGGAGGGGTGGACATTCCCTACAGTAGAAAGAAGGAAAGGAGTATGTTTCATCCTCTCACACCTGTGGACTGGCAGCGCTCTCTGGCTTTCCCACATCCAGCCTCTACTCATCACTGGTACTCTGGGCCTGTCCTCTCTCCTCCTCGGCTAAGCCCACTGCCAAGGACTTTTCTTGTTCAGTGCTGGGAGTGACCTGCTACCTTCTCAAGTAGCACTGGCACTGAGTTTCATCAGTAGCAGGCACTGGCCGTAAGAAGCTTGCTGTGACAAGATTCTCACCCCAAGGTTGACCTTAGGACAGGAAGTTGTTTTTGCCACCTAGATGAGCAGAAATTTCCTGCCTGGATCTAGATGTGAAGACAGGCCTCTTACTGCTTAGCATGTTAATTTTGGGACAATAGAGTAATGTCCTCCCCAACACTGGCAGCACGACGCTCGTCCTCATTTTCCCTGGGAGCAGAACTGGCTTCTGTAGGAGTTTCCAGGGAGGTTGGCAGAATGTTTAAAAAGATGTTCATCTTATTTCTCATTCACTTATTTTCTGCACAAAGGAAACTGTTGAGGAGCTGGCTCAGGATGTACTCTCCAAGCTTCCCAAAGACTTTGACCTGGAACAGATCATGAAGTTATACCCTGTGGTCTACGAGGAGTCCATGAACACTGTCCTACGGCAGGAACTCATACGATTCAACAGGTAGGCTGGATGATTTCACTTGCGTACTGGACTTGGAGCAACATGAGGAGGAACTAACATGTAGTAGCTGAGATAGGCACTTGGTAAGTATTGCCGTGTAGAGAAATAGTTTGCTCCATCCTTATGGAAAGCTGTACACAGGCCAATGCCCAGCATGTGTTGGCCCAGAATTGAAGCATACCTATTCACCCTCTCTCATTCATCCACAATACATCTACAGGTAAAAGAAAAAAATCAGAACTACTCTTATTGAGCTATTAGTACAAGATAGTGTTTTAAGCAGTTATGGTTCTTTCAAATCATGCATAGTCTTTTGAAATATGTAATTACTAATCTATCATCATGGTACAGATGAGAAAACTCATTAGGGGTAATGATCTATAGTCTTCATTCATTCAATCAGACACTAGACCTAATCCTTCACTTCTAACCTACTCATCTTTCCCTAAGGTTGCTGGAGTTCCTCCATGGTAGTGGCAGAGGCCTTTCCTAGTCTTTGCCACTGGCTATTGTAAAACAATACTGGGATTCAAAAGGGTAAAGTAGCTTGCCAAAGGCATATAGTTACTCAGCGGCAGAACTGAGTTTGAACCCATGTTGTTTGATTCCAGAATCCAGGTACTTACTAAGTAAAATAAGCGTAAATGTAGCAAATGGCAAGAAAAGTTCATCCCATTGCTTTTCCCATAGAGGTGAGGAATTATAGACTGGCCACTGAGTCTCACGTCCTTCTGTTTTCATCCCTTTCACTCCCCCAGTTATGACAACATAAAACTCAGTGAGATCACCTGGCTTTGGTTTCTAAATAGTCAAAGAGTTATCAGACTACATCAGTCAGATGAGGAAATTGAGGCCCAGAAATGACAGTGGTGTCATGAAAATCTCAAGTGACTCAGTGCCAAGTAGGCTTAAAACTCATCATTCCTGCCCCCAAATCCAGGTTGCTCTTTCAGCTACTGTGTTGTCACCTTCATTGGCTCATTGTTCACTTTTCAGGCTTGCTCTGGAAGACAAGCTGGAGAAATGTCATCTGGGCATTCCTCCACTTCTGTAGTCTCTCAAGTCAACAGGCACTTGGCCATATGGGAGGCAAAACAAAAATGAGGAATAAACCTAAGATGAGGCCACTTCTGCTGTGAATAAGTTGCCCTGGCAGAATGGGCTGCAGGCCTCCATCATCCACTCATAAGCTAATCCTCACACTTTCTTCCTCTGCCACTACACAGTCCTCTGTGGTCACTAGAGCCCCTCTTTAGTGGTCACAAAAGCCTTCCTAGTCTTTACCACTGGCCACTGAATACAGGGGGCAGGTAATAGCCAGGGGGATATATATAATATATATATGATAAAGTTAGTTATACAGTTGATTCTCTTGGCTTCTTGAAGGGAAAGTTTTGAACTAGTTTTTAGACAATGTTTCATGCCCATATTTTTTATTTTGAACAACTATTGTGAACATAACTATATGCAATGTGTTGATTATTGTTAAGCTTCTACTAGGCTGTTTTGAAACTGTTATATTATTTTTACTTTTGTCTATTTAAAATGTAAAACAATCTAGAAATAATGTTTCAGCAATCAGTTAAATAAAATGGAGCATTTTGCAGTCATTGGATAATTTAGGTCACTTATTTATTGAATTGGAATGATTTCCCTATTCAGATTAAAAGATTACAAAAGAATAATATAGGATGACCCTATTAAAATGACTTGTTTATATAGAATCAAATCTAGAAAGGTAGTAGGACTGGGGAGATAGCTCAATGGTCTAAGTGCCTGCCTGACAAGAACAAGGACCCGAGTTTGATTCCCTGTACCACATGCTGTGCCAACCCTGGAACTCTAGGCATGCAGTGCTAGCCTGTAATCCCAGAGCTGGGGAGGCTGAGACAGGAGGATCACTATGATTCCAAGCTATGTAGTGAAACCCTGTACCAAATGAATAAAGATTTTTAAAAAATAGGTATCAGAGTTATCTTTAGGTGGTGATATAATTGGTAATTTTATTACTTCTCAATTAGCAATGTTTATTCATTAATCCTTTAAAAGGAATCAAGAAAAAAGGAGACCTCGAGTTAGTGCATTGGGATAGAACATGGCCTCTGGAAAGCCAGGCTTAGCCAGCTCCTTTTCTCTCACAGGCTGACCAGAGTGGTTCGCAGCAGCCTCATTAATCTTGGCCGGGCCATCAAAGGGCAGGTCCTGATGTCCTCAGAGCTGGAGGAAGTCTTCGACAGCATGCTCGTGGGTAAAGTGCCAGGCATGTGGGCAGCCAAGTCCTACCCATCACTGAAGCCCCTGGGGGGCTACGTGGCAGACCTACTGGCCCGCCTGGCTTTCTTCCAGGTACCTGGGAGTCAGGGTGACTGAACAGGGTAGGAGGGCTGGCAGCCACTGTAGAAAACTGACCTAGCACCTTGAAATGGCCTTTCCAGAGGTGGAGATGGGAGAGGGATGTTGGAAAGACCCTGGAGAGATTGCAGTCTACAGAGACAAAAGTGGAAACTAGAATAAGTGTCACAAACTGATGGTGCACAGGATAGATTTGGCCAAGGGATATGCTTTGTTTGGCTGCCTGGTAATTTAAAATGTTTTGATCTAACATGTAAACACTGGACTTTTATATATAAAAATCTGGATGTGGGGCTTGGGTATATAATCCTGGTTGAATTTTGACTGGCATGTGTGAACTCTGAGTATAATCCCCAGCACCCAAAACAAAACAGCAGATGTTTCCTGAAAAAGAACAAAACAAAACAAAGCTAGAAGCCTTGAAACAATGTGCCTGCATTTGGAAAGTGCAACTATTTCTGGAGAAGAGTGGCTGTTGGCTCAGTTCAGACAAGAGCTCTATTCTCCTCGGCCCCGGATGCCATCACTCTCTGCTGTTACCCAAACCAACTTGTACCTGCGCTTTTCTTAAAGTAGAAACATATTTCCTTATACTTTTATTTTGAAAGTGGGAAAATGTAAGTTAAATCAAAAAATAAGAAATAGAATATTTATCTGTGGAACTCATTTACATAGTCTTCCTTTGAACTATCTTTGATGGGTTATTCATTTTGAATTTTGATGTCTATGCCTCTACAGGAATGGGTTGACAAGGGACCCCCTGTGGTCTTTTGGATCTCTGGATTCTACTTCACGCAGTCGTTTTTGACTGGTGTCTCTCAGAATTATGCCCGGAAATATACCATCCCCATCGACCACATTGGATTTGAGTTTGAGGTAGGATGCTTTGGGTTGGAAGAGCACAAGGGATCAACCAGAGAAAGCATTACTGCCTATGTCCCTGTAAGTCCAAAGGTTTGAGTATGTTAAGGTCTGCATGCTTAGGACCCAGTCCTAGCCCAGGTCCGGTGAGTGTG